TGGGGTGAGCCTTCCGCTTACAGCCCGGACAACTTCCTGGGCCAGTTCTCTCACATGGGGTCAAGGTCACCCCATGACACCCAACAAGGGGCACTGTTAGTAACTCCCCAGTATCAAAGGTAGAAACCCCGGGCACCCACCCACCACACATCCAGGAATAGGTGCTGGGTTTTTTTTTTTACTAAAAGGATGTTTGCTATTCTTTTAATCTTTAATCTAATGGCTTCACTTTCACATATTTCTAAAATGAGTTCATTCTAGTAGAAGCTTGATTTCTGTCCTGACTCGTTCTATTTTACCCATTTTTGGGGCAACGTCGTGGTCTCTATGAACGGTTTTGGAGTCGGTGTCTGCTGCCTGCACCAGCGTTTTTATCATTTCTACCTGGCTCACACCCTCTGAGTGCCCGCCAGAGAAGAAAGGCGTGAGCTCGCCCAGCAAGCACAGGTGTAATCGTTCCGGGAAGGTCCCCCAGGAGTGCAGTTCTGTCTAGACTATCAGAGCAGACTTGACCTCTGTAGGCTTTTCCTAGTCATGGACATGCTGAAACAGGCGGCCACGTGCTGCTCAGGGGGCATTTGTGGGCGGTTTGGACCAAGGGTGACCCCCAGGCTTTTCACTGGCTGTTCTCAGAAGGAGGCTGCCAGGCTTCCCTTCCTCGCCTCTGCCAGCCTGGAATCTGCGGAAACCCGCCACCCTGGGTGACCTGCTGGCCTTTGGAATATGGTGCCACCCCTTCCCGCACCACAGCACCCCACACCAGGGGCACTCTGAGAAACACATGGGGCGCTGAGAGACACGTGGGGCGCTGAGAGACACGTGGGGTGCTCTGAGAGACATGTGGGAGTGCTCTAAGAGACACGTGGGGTGCTGAGAGACACGTGGGACGCTGAGAGACATGTGGGGCGCTGAGAGACACATGGGGCTCCGAGAGACACATGGAGCTCCAAGAGACACGTGGGGCACACAAGTTACTCTCACTGCTGTCGGTCAGAACTGACTCCTAGCTGGTTTTCAGGGGCTATAAACTGCATAGGAGGAGACTGCCCATCATTCTCCTTCAGGGCAGCAGAAGGATGTGAACCTCTAACCTTTAGGTTGGCAGTGCAACTCCTTCTCCTCGAGGCCACCAGGGCTCTCTGCACTGAAGGTGGATGTCGAGGGCCTTCGAGTCAGAATCGACTTGTGGCTGACCCTTCAGTGGGTTTTGAGAGGCGGTAAATGTCACAGGAGAAAACGGTCCATCCTTCTGTGGAGCAGCTGGTGGATTTGAATTGTGTGCCTTTGGGATGGCAGTGCACCTTCTTACCACGAGGCCCCACAGAACATTAAGGGGCTTTAGTTTTTTCCTATCAGAGAGTCTGACGCCCACAGAGTTTTCACCCCTAAAGAGGAGGCCTTTCCTCTGCGGCCGAGGGGGTAAGGGGGGCCTGGCATGTCCTCATTGATCTGGTCCCTCTGCTTCTGCTCACTGGCTACCTGCTCAGACCCTGGGACTCTCGCAGGTCTGCCAACAGTGTCCGCTGTGGTCAGATAGAGAGCTCTGAAAACGGCCAGGGCACAGCTCCCAGGAAACATGCCCATCCCAGAGCTCCTGCCAGCAGCCGCCTCGGCCCAGCACCCGGCCCGGCACACTGTCCAGCACCCGGCCCGGCACACTGTCCAGCACCTGGCCCGGCACACTGTCCAGCACTCGGCCCAGCACCTGGCCCGGCACACTGTCCAGCACCCACCCTAGCACCAGCCTGGCACACTGTCCAGCACCCGGCCCAGCACCCAGCCCGGCACACTGTCCAGCACCCGGACCGGCACCCAGCCCAGCACCCTGTCCAGCACCCGGCCCGGCACCCAGCCCCGCACCCTGTCCAGCACCCGGCCC